GGGACAAGCTACTATAGCTTGATGTACCTCATATATTCATCATAAAATGAGGATATGAATAGTAATTACCTCAACAAGACTATGTGAAGATTACATATGTCAAGCACTTGAAGCAGTGCCTGACAGATGTCAGTTATTTGACAAATTGAATAACTACTACACACCAAGCAGATTACATATGTCAAGCACTTGAAGCAGTGCCTGACAGGTGTCAGTTATTATTATGTATTTGACAAATTGAATAACTACTACACACCAAGCGTTTTACAAGTGATGAGAATTTAACTATGAACAAAAAAATTCAAGCTATTGTTGAACTTGGAATCTACAAGGCCAGGAGGAGAGGAATCTATAATGATAAAAGTGTAATATGCTTAGACTGGACAGCCAAACAACCTTCCGGATGAAGCCAGGGCTTCGAGGGCCAAGCAAGCCGCCGCGGCTACGAGGGCTGAGCCCCTTTCACGAATTGTGTGCATCGGGCCTCTAGTTTACATTAATAAAAGAGAAAGATGCAAATTGACTGTACCCTCATGACACCCACCAGCCAATCAGGAGTGAGAATGCAAATTAACCCAACAAAGATGGTGGGTTGATTTGCATATGCAGGCGTCGAGTGGACAGGGGCGGGCAGGACACTGTGTCGTCGCCATGGCGTTCCACACTGCCCCAGCCACTCCGAGCCTCTGGGCAGAAAGGCGGCTCCGGCCGGAGCGAAGGCAGTGCCGGCAGCCAGGGGAAGGAAGGCCCATTCTTGCATGAATCTTCGAGCATCGGGCCTCTAATACATTATAAAGCACCACAAGTGATAGAATGGCAGGGCAACCAGAAAAGGTTGCACTGAGGTCCCATGAGGCAAGGAAGCTGTCCCAGGAGACAGCTAAAGGAAGTCTTCCAGGGAAAAGTCTTAAAGCCAGACCACATTGAACGTGGTTAAGGTATGGCAAGGAGCACAGTGAAAACTGAATACTATGTGTGGTGTTTTTTAAAAGAAAAATGCAAAATTGTAAATTCCCTTTGAGGGGAAAAAAAGCTACACAAATTTTAAAAAGACTACAAAAATTGAACAAATGTTTTGTTCGAATGATAAGACTATGGTAATGCATTTTTTTCTTTTCAATCCAAATATTCTGAATATGTATTAATGTAGTGTTTTTTAAAAATCAAAAAGGCTTTATCGATGAAATTACTTGTAAATAAAAGAGAATTTCTAATTACACAGGATTATTTCTAACTTCTCTATTTATAGTCAACATGTTAATATTTTACTTTATTTAAATGTTCTAATGCATGCTTAACACAATAAATTGCCAAGTTTACTTTTACTAATATTTCATTTAGTATTTTGACTAAAAAGTTTTTCTCTGCCTACATACTGAACACAATTGTATCTTTTCAGCTGATATAGTTAATGAGATAGACAATTTGTCTTTTGAAATTTCTTCACATCTTCTATGGTGAAAACTGTTCTCAATTTAACAAATTGTTCTTCAAATAAGTAGTCAGTGAAAATGCTGTGATAGTTCACTTAACTGCTCTTTCGATATAGATTTTTCTAATTCAAGGTAGCAGCAATGGATTTGCAGAAATGAGGTTACACATCTAGGAAACAAGTAAATTTGTAATGTTTTCATTTATGTTCAAATATTTTACTTCTAAATACATTTCTTAAATTCAGTGCCTTGGTTACAACACAGTTATAATTTATCATTGGTCCTATGCATTTTATCCCCTTTGAATCTGACAGAAATACAACTTTCTAACTTCGCCATTTTTTGCAGTGTCTTTTGGTAATTTTCTTTACCTAATATTTCAATTACACTTTAAAGCTCGCAAAGATTTAACATTTGACTAGAAACTTGAAATATGTGTTAAGCTACGGGTGGTTTTAAAGTGCAAACCACGGAAACTCTTTACTTCTTATAACTGTATGGACATTTAAAAAAAGAAAATAAGATAGTAGGTGACAATTATATAAGGATTTAGATCAAGAGTCCAGAAAACAAACTTTGTTGAAAAAGTATGTGACATTAAATTATAAAAGAAGAATTCAGGGAAATTCTCTTCAATTTACTCACCTCAAGTCAATAAGGCCAAGCATTGTTCTACGGATCATGACTACAGACTCAGGGCATGGTGAGTGTTTGGAATGTGTGGCATTTATATGATCTGTTACCATCAGGCTCCCTTTCTGCCCCCACCTTGTTTTCTTTTTTATACCATAGGTAAAGGGTAGGATAGGAGTGTGGTTGCTGGCGAATACAGAGAATATTTGTACAAATTTTTATTTCATTCAACAATAAGAAAGTGCCAATAAGACATATTAACCAAAAAAAAAGCTGATTTTTACAGACCTAAATAACTATATTTATTTTTGAAAATAAACACCAAAAATTATTTTAATAGAGGCATGGCATTTTCAATTCATCACAAATAGTGTTACTTAATTTTCAATTTTATGTAGTGATTAAGTATAGATTATATTATCTATCATCAAAGTACTTAACTGAGGTGTTTTAAAATAATTTACTAATATCTATTAAAATCTCTATGCAATACAAAAATTAGTCTAGTCTGTTTTCTATATCTAGTCAAGAGACTATAGATAAAATTATCTTAATCACTCAGTATATCTTTACATTACCTTTTCAGTCAACACAATGCCAAAATATTTTAGTCACACATATTCTTAAGAACAGTTCTTAAAAATATTTAGCATTTCAAAATAGGAGAAAATTTCAATTTCAAATAAAATATTACTTGAGAAAGCTGTGTTTCTTCCTAAAAGACAAACAAATAACCAACAAGAAAAACTACTTGTTTTTATCTTCTTACCTTCCTCCAGCTCTGTATCACATGTAGTGTCCAAGGTTGTACCTTTATAAGATATCTTTTTAACTTTCTTCTTATTTCCATAATTAGCAATCAGATGATGATATCTATTCATAAAGAGGAAATATATATGAATATCAGCATTCATAAATAGTCAATTGAATACATAATTATCAAATTAAGACCTTAGACATTAGCTAATGCCTTGCCAAGGATGTCACACATTGGCGCTGACCTCAAGCAACCTCTCAAGCCAACTGCATTAACAGTCACCATTTTTATTTCATGTACTCCCATTCTCTGGCACTTCTTTTTTTCCTGCCGTCACAAAAAAGCCATTAGCAAGATAGAAAAAGTAGCTTTAGGTTATATTTGGTATATTAATTTGCTGGGGAGGCCATGACAAAATACCATATTGGGTGACTCAAATCACAGAAATTTATTTTTTCATAATTCTGGAGGCTGAAAGTCCAAGATTAGGGTGTCAGCAGGATGGGTTTTCTCTAAGAGCCATAAGGGAAGGATCTGTTCCAAGTTTCTCTCCTTGGCTAGTAGATTACTGCCCTCTTGTTGCCTATGTGCATGAGCACCTCTGATGTCTCTCTGTATGTCATACTCTCCCCTTCTTATAAAGAAACCAGTCAGATTGGATTAGGGCCCAACCTAATGCACAGTCATTTCAACTTATTATCTCTTTAAAAGCCCTTTCTTCAAATATATGCATCCAAATTTTGAGTTACTGGGGATTAGGGCTTTAACACATGAATCTTATGGGAGTGGGGGGCAGTTACACAATTTAGCTCATAACAGTTGGGCTTAATAGTAAATCAACACATGAACACAATTAACAGGGACTGAGCCATACCCAGTAAAGAATAAACCTTTTCTCCATGCCAATATGAGATATATTCACCAAAATAAAAAAGCACCCTGATTTTTAAAGACCTAAATAATTATATTTATTTTTGAAAATAAACAGCAAAAATTGTTTTAATAGATACATGTCGATTTCAATTCATCACAAATATTGTTATTTAAGTTTTATGTAATAATTAGGTATACGATTTCAGAATTTCAGTGAAAGAAATGAAGCAACGTATGGATTAAAGCTAACTGTAACATAAATATCTAAACATAATTCCCTCATTTTACACAGTTTCACTTATTTTTTTAAAAAAAAACTATATGAGAGCCCTGGCCAGTGTTTCTCAATAGTTAGAGCATTGTACACACCAAAGGGTTTCAGGTTCGATTGATTCCCTGTCAAAGGCATGTATTGGGTTGCGGGTTTGATTCCTGGCCTGGGTAAGAGTGTGTGTAGGAGGCAACAAATCGATGTGTATCTTTCACCTTGATGTTTCTTTCTCTCTCTTTCTCTCTCTCTCTCTCTCTCTCTCACTGCCTCTCTCTCTCTCCCTCCCTTCCACTCTAAAAATCAATGGAAAAAATATCCTCAGATGAGCATTAACAACAATAAAAATGAAATAAAACAAAACAAAAAATATATATGAGAAAGATTTTTTTATGCTTCCACTCTTAAGGAACCATAGAACCTATGTACCAAGAAAGAGTGAACAAATGGTACTAATAAGCAATGGCCATGTATGTGCTAAATATGGTAGAAAGGTAATGGCTATTCAAGCAACAACAGTCACAATTACAGAAAGCTTAGTTCCCATTGCAAAAGAGGGACAAAAACAAAAAAAAAATGTTTTCTGAATAATGCATTTTATTTTCTCACCTACTATTAAAATCAGAAATATATGATTATACATGAAAAGTTTTATCTTTTGGGTTCATGAGAATATACTTATTGCATTGCTAATGTGTAAACACAATTAACGGAACTTGTGTGAATTAATTATATTTTGCCCAACCCTATTGCCCAGATTTTTATTAATGGCTATGTCACTAGTTGTTGGAATTCCCTGTCTTGGCATTCTTTAAATTCCCATGCCACTATGAGTTAATTTGTACATTCCGCCTACCTGTATTTCTTATATTGATTGACCCTACAAACAGGTGAAAGCAAGGATCCTTGGATCCATGGGACCAGAGTTCATAATGTGGTCACCCACACTGCAGAGCCTATTCCAGCATTGTATTTGGGGGCTCATGTTTCTCTTCTAATGATCAAATTCCATACAAGTGTTAAAAAATATGCAGTATCACTTACATAGTAAAACCATTAAAAGAAGCATATTCCTCAGCTGTGAATCCATAAATATCTTGGCAAGATAGGTCCACTTCTTTCTGAAGAAGAAGACTGACCAAATTTGTTGGTTCATCACTTAGAGCAATCATAAGGGCTGTTCTGGAACAAGAGATATAAATGTCTATTTATGGATTAAACATGTCTTGTACTTTTTTCAAAAGTTAATCTTTAAATTTACTGTTCAAGTGTAGAATCTCGATCAGGAAAAGAATCAGGGCAAGAATGTAAAAAGTGCTCTGCTCAAAAACCTGAGCCAATCCCAGATCTTATTGGGAGTCTGAATATAAAGAGCCCCTAGGAAGCTGCTAGCTCAATGGTTTTCAATGCCTCCTTCCCAAAACCCTATGGTTTTCAAGAGCCCCTAGGAAGCTGCTAGCTCAATGGTTTTCAATGCCTCCTTCCCAAAACTCTAGGGTTTTCAAGGAGATGTCTCAAAATGTTATGGAGGAGTGTGTCTGAAGCTCTGGGTTCCCTACCCTTGTTTAACTACAACATCTAGGAGGTAGAGATTGAGTTTTTGTATAAAATTCTAATGTTATAAAAAATTATCCTATATAATAAAAGCTTAATTGCTAAGTGTCTGGTCGTCTGGTCATCCCTTCAACCAAAGCATAATATGCTAATGATATGCTAAGGCTGCTCAATTGCTCGCTATGACATGCACTGACCACCCGGGGGTGGACGCTCTGACCAGCAGGTTACCTTACTGCTGGGTCCAGACGATCAGGACTGAGCGAGATGGGCTAGACATGCCCTGGAGCCCTGCCACAGTCCCTCCCAAGCTGGCCAACCTCCCCCGTCCCTCCCCAGCCCCAATCGTCCCTCGTCCTGGCCTGTGCCCTCTCACAATCTGGGACCCTTCAGGGGATGTCAGAGAGCCTGTTTCAGCCCAATCCCCCAGGCCAGGCTGAGGGACCCCAGTAGTACATGAATTCATGCACTGGACCTCTAGTTATAATAATAATAAGCTACCAATTTTGTCCAAATGTTTGATTTTACAGGAATACAGGTCTTGGGAATCTAGGTTATTGGCTCAAAATCATATGGCCATATCTTTTTCCAAAAACAACAACAGCATCAATAATATACATTTTATATATCAACATATATATGTATATACACATACATGCCCACAAATATATATTTATCATCCCATTAGGTTGTTGTAGGTATATGCTTTTATTTAGCATATCAAATTTATACCTTTGATTCTGATCTGAAGCATTCGCATCTGCTCCTCTCTTCAGAAGAAACTTCACTATTTCTGCATTGTTTTCAGTAACAGCAAGTAAAAGTGGAGTGCATCCATCCTGAAAAAAATTATTTTAGAGTATTTAAAATATTGTACATTAACATGCCTTTTAGATCCAAATTCAATTTAAAAGATAAGTGTGCTATTAAGAAACATCTGATATACACTTTAATTTTTAAAAGGTTTTGATACATAACAAAATATGATTTTAAAGACCAAGAAAATAAATTAGAGTTGGGCCAGTCAAAAAAACAAGATTAAAGTTTCAACTTTAGGCTTAATGCAAATTGTGGGTAAGAGGAGCCTAGATTATTTAGGTGATGAGCACCTAGCATTTAATATAAGTATTGCAAATCATACATTCACATTTTATAATGTTGTTAACAATTGAATTTTCATAGGGATTCATTTAAACTTCCAAGTTGGCACTACAAGTGTGTCATGTAAACAAAATATTAGTGAACTAAGGTGCTAAGAAGCTTAAAAAAATACTCATCAGTTTTCCATAATGTCTCAATAGGAGATCTGGATTACTTTTAGTATTGTAAGTGATTTTCTAATTCAACCCTATTCTTACCATTATTAATAAGTATGTAAATAGAAAAAAATATAGGCTTTATGATTCCTAATCAATATTCATTTATAGGAAAATAAAATAGTTCTCATTTGATATAGGCCTTTGAACAGTTATCACTGTTAAATGTGATGCTGCTTTAGAGGTCAGGATTATAATTTGAAATAAAATGGAGAAAGACTTTTTAAAAAGGAAAACCACACCAGTGTTTAATAATCTCATTCTCCTTCCCAATTTCATTTTGGAAAATTCACACTTTATATAACATGTGTTTCAACAGATATAAATTATCTGCAATGAATACCTCTTCCATTGCCTTCTAAAATATAATGTGTGTTTTTAATAGAAGACTACCTTATTTTGTGCTTCAAGATTAACTTTGTATTCAAGCAGTTTTTTTACTAATGCGACACTTTGGCCATAGACAGCATAATGAAGAGCAGTATTGTCATCTAAATCCATTATATTTGGGTCTGCACCTTGGTCTAGAAGCATAGCAGCACAAGTCTCGTTTTTACACTGTACTGCCTGTCAATAAAACAAAAATAGATGAGTAACCAATTTGCCACTCAGAATATGCTATATTAATCAAATGTTTAATATTTTGTTTTAAAATATGAAATTCAACAAAAGTTAATTAGGAAAAGAGCTCAAACACATTCCAATTGAAAAGGAAAAATTAGCACACCTTAATCAATGGAGATTTGTTTTCACTATCAAAGACGTTTATTTTGCATTGTTTCTCAATTAAGAAAGACACAACATTTGAACATCCAAAAGCACAGGCCAGGTGCAAAGGTGTCCTATATCAATATAACAAGACACAAAGTTAGAAATAAGGCTTAGTTTGAGAAGATACTCTATTCATGCCAGATCATATATTAAGGTATTTGCTTAATGTACTATTTATATTTAAACAAAATTTACATTAATTATAATTGCTTTTTACTGAATTATTCCTTGTGTAGTAAGAAGTGTGCCCAGCCCTCAACCCAAACACACAACCCAAAGGGCCAAACAGCTTTAAGCCCACCTAAAATAACTTTCGGTAGTAGCTTGGCAAATCCTAGCAAACATTCTATTGTCTCCTTCATCCATTATTATACATATCCTAAGAATTTAGTCCCAAGGAACCTAGGTGTCTTTTACTCAATATTTAAATCCACCTCTCCTTCCAACCCCAACCCCAGTTCTCTTTTTTCATTAATATATACATATACTAGAGCACAAATTTTTGTGCACTCGGGAGGGTCCCTCAGCCCAGCCTGTGCCCTCTCGCAGTCTGGGACCCCTCGGGGGATGACCACTTGCTGGCTTAGGCCCGCTCCCCGGGGGATTGGGAATAAGCTGGCAGTCAGACATCCCTCTGGCAGCCCAGAAGCCCTCGGGGGATGTCCACTTGCCAGCGGGCAGCAGGCCTAGCTGCAGTCGGACATCCTTAGCGCTGCTGAGGAGGCGGGAGAGGCTCCCACCACC